TTGTTTGTTATGAAACATAATGTGGTGTTATTTGAATGACACTATGTGTACCTTCGTAGTTTAGTTGTGTGTAATTGGCTGTGTATTTCAGAATGCTAATATAACTCACAATACATATCGTCTGTTGCATATCTTTAACATTCTGGATAGCATAGTACTATCTCTAAGATATTCACATTGCGCTGTCGCGTATGGAATTCCTTCTTGTAATTGGAGCAGAGACAGGTCTAGATGAATATCAGTTCGCGCTACTTCTGAAGCTTTTGAAGATTATTTGGAAAGGTTTGAAATCTGGAGTATGACCAGGAAAGATGTCAAAGATGATAAAATTGTGGCTCATTTCCTAACATTCATCGGAAAAGAAGCGTACAGCTTATTGAAAACCTTGGCATATCCAGAAAAACCTATTTCACTTCCCTATGCAATGCTTAAGGAGTTATTATTGAATCATGTAAAGTGCCCTGGTTTTGAATGCCGTGAAAGAGCGAAATTTCATAAGATGATTCGTCAAAATGACCAAAATGTTAAGAAATTCATTCTTGAATTGCAGAAACAGGCTGTCAAATGTAATTTCGGTGATCAACTTCATGTGCAGCTGAGAGACCGATTAATTGCAGGAATTAACATACCTAGTTTGGAAAGAGAGCTGTTAAGAATGTCAAACTGTTCCTTTCAAGATGTTAGAACTGCGTGCATTAACTACGAGGCGTTGAATGAACTTGATATTCAGTCGATGAAGATTTCCAATACTTTGATTAGTTGTCATGATGAAAAGCAATCTCAGGGTCAATCAAAATTGTGTTCGTTTAACAGAGGTTCCTATTCTCGTGTAAAAATGAACGGTGTCTCAAAAAAGAATTACAAAGGAAATCAAAAAGGTGAGACCAAGTTTGGCAAATGTTTATCATGTGGAAAACTTCATTCTCGTTATTATTGTACATTTCGTAATGCTAAATGTTTTAGATGTGGTAAGATAGGACACATTCAAGCAGTATGCAAAGCTACTGTTCATTTTGCCTCAAGTAGTACTAAAGCTTGTAATTTAGATCCCAATAATTCAGCTGATCCTAATGATCATTTATCTTTAACTACCATTTCGAAAGGTAATGCTCATATTCTACAGCGACTATATACATCGCTTGGTTCATTTCATGACTTTATTGTGGACACAGGTAGTATAGAGTCCATTATTTCATTCAAGAACCTGAAATCGTTAGGTCCGAACGTTGTGATACGACCCACTGATGTATCAATATTGGGGATTACTGGACACAGACTGCCTATACGAGGATGTTGTGAATTGCTAATAAGAGATGATAATTCCTCATATATACCTTGTGAATTTTTAGTTAGTGAAACAGGACTGTCAATACTGGGTTTAAAGAATTTGAGAAGACTTAAAGTGGAGTTGTCTTTCCTAGTTTCTAAAGAAAATTCTGATGCTTTACTTAAAGATTTGATATCCACGTGTGCTAAGTGCAATGGAAGTATGAAAATGGTTCAGCACGGGAGTGCCAAGCAAATTCAACATGTTGACTACATTTCTCGACAGTCATTAAATGCAGATATTTGTCGTACAGCAAAGAATTGCGAAAAGTGTCATAAGCTGAAAAATCAGCATTCGAGGTTGAGTGATTCTATTGTCGCCTCAACATTTAATGAGCTGGAGAGGGGAGTAAATACCTTTCTACTGCAATATAGAAATGCCAGACATTCGGTGACGAAAGAGACTCCATCAAAACTATTAAAAGGAAGAATTCTTCGGTCGAATATGAGATGTTTGGAGTCTGCAGAAGTTACATATTATCGTGGCAATGATCTTCGACCATCCACGGGGATCGTTCTGAAGAATGTCGGGAAATCTATGGTGCGACTTCTAGATATCAATGACTTAAGTACATACAATCGACATGTTGATAAAATACAATTCCAAGAGCCAGGTGAGTCTGTTCCAATTTCGGTTGTTAATTCTAATACTAATGAGAGCATTCTAGATAATACAGAGCCTTTATCCAATACACTGTCGGACAGACACAGGATGAATTTGAGAAGAAGACGTACAACTGATTACAGACATATACATTCCAATTTAAGCGGTGGCGGATGTCGTGTTTGAATGAACTACTAACTTCTTGTTGTTGTGAAATGCTTGATTTCGAATTCTGAATACAATACATTCGTTTGTGCAGATCTTTAATTCTTCATTCATATACTTCTAAATATCACAGTGCCCCATGACAAAAGTAATATAACTCTATTCACTGTTCTGCAACCGTCTCAAGAAGAACTATAAATGCTGGTAGATATTGTTTAGCTACTGTTGTAAGGCACCAATGATTTCTGAGTTAGATCCACATAATATGCTTTGATATCAAGGTGTACTAGTACGGTCCACGTACCAATGCGTTCTTTCATAATGGAGAATACTCTCTTCAAGGTGTCCTCCAAGCTTATAGTTTTTGCATTTCTATGTAAGTAGCTAGTTAATGGTTTTATGAAAGACGTTCATTTCTGTACAAACCATTGGTGGGAGATCGGTAGTCCAATGAACATGCTCAGTTACTTGACACTGGTCGGTTCTAAGTGACCTAGAATGGTAGCTACTTGTTTTCTATAGGAAAAACATATTGAGGGTCAATATCATGCCTGAGAAAATAAGGAGAGTCTGTCTGATTTGACATTTCTGAAACATTACAGTGATACTATGGAAAACAAGATTCAGATATTAGACATGAGATTCTCAGTCCAAACTTGCGAACGCACAGTCAACAAGAATATGCTGAAAGTCGAGATCTCTGAAAGCTTCGTCACTAAATCTCTGAAAGGTCTAATTAGCATTTTTTGAACCGAAAGACATTCAAAAGTATTCAGAGTCCAAAAGGACTGATAGTGGCGGTTTTAGGAATTTCGTCCTCAGACTTAAAAATTAGGCAACAAGTTTTAAACATGCCAATTTCTGGGAAATCAATGGTAGCTTTCGCGGTTGTTTTCAAGATTCGAAAGTTATGCGACGGGTAACGATTGTGTGTGGTTTTGGTGTTAGGTCGCCAATAATCACTAGTTGAACAATGATCGTTGTAATCCTCTGTAGGAATCAGGTACTCAAGGGATGCCAGTGAGCTGTTTGACAACCGGATAGTTCCTAAGTCTACTAGATTACCTAGCCCGGCTTACACCAGTTCAAGATTTTCAGAATATATGTGGTCATGAAGTCGTACTGTGATGTGCAATATGGATGGCTGCACACGGTAACTGCGGTCATTTTGGTGCATTTCGTAGTAGTCGTCAAGTATGGAAGGAGTACACATCGGTTCAGTTGTGTTGTTAAAGAGCGCAGCTTGAAAGGACATATAGATTATCCAGTATTTCCGTCTTCTATCCTCATTGCGCTTGAACTGGTTAGTAGTTGCAGATCTACGCCAATGAATAATACTATCAGGACAGCGACACTAAAACTCCACCGAATAAGTTTGCATAATTACATGTTCTGGTAAGTGGAAATCTATTTTCTGTTTACCACCTATAAATTAAGGAACAGGTCTTGCATAAAATCGTCAGCAGTCTCTGGAAGAACACCAAATTGTGGTGGATTGCTGACAAGACAGGAAATATTTGTAACTACACCAATGGTTTATAACAGTCACGGTTAACACATACAGGTAGGGTAATTTCATAAAAGATTATTTGTAGTAAAAGGCTCAAGCTGTGAGAAAGCTGAAGAGTTTGTGGTAATTTCAAGAAAACTTGCCACAAGCGTTGTAGTGCCGACACTAATAAGCACGCTTCCTTTTTTCCATGTGTGGAGTAAGATCTTTCCTAGATGAGCTTCTGTTAGGAGGTCCAGACCGTCTATGTGCATATGGGTTGAAGTATTATAGGAGCCCTCATTTTCGTTTAGAACTAATAGACGACACAAGCCTTGATGCTGAAGCTTCAACTGAATCCCATAATCAAATTGGTGGATGCGGCTAGTTCGCCTACGGCCTTACCTTGGGATGAAAGAAGTATAACCTGCCTTTTGAGCAAACCTTGTACTAGTAACTTTAAAGCGCATTTTTGGGCATTTTGATAACAGAACGTCTCACCAATTCTCTAACAGCTTTATTTGGTCTCAATTAGAGTATGGAAATATTACGTTTCATCCCTGACTCCAAAAGGACAATTATACACTGGAAAATGTTCAGAGGTGAGCCGTGAGATCAGTTCGATGACTCAAGTTCAAACCTTATGAAGAACCTCTTATGTCAATAAATCTCTACCCTTGAGAGTATAATCGTCCCAGAGGTGACCTAATGTTCCATAGTACAATAAACACTCCTAAATATCCACTTAAATACTTACTTAAGCTCAATCTGAACACAAACCTAAGGGATAGTGCCGAGAAGCTAGCAGCCAAGCATAGCAAAATGGGCGGCATTCACACCTTTTACTCTTTAAGAATAGTCAAATTCTGGAATTCTTTGCCGATGGAGGTAGTAAAAAGGACTTCTTTTGAGTCCTTGAACAAGGGGCTTGATGTTTTCCCAAGGACTCAGGGCAGTATTTCAATATAATTTTCTGGTACTTCTTTATTACAAGTTGAATAGATCGAAGTTCCTACGTGGTAGCATTGGTGATCGATTGCTATCAGATAAAGAGGTCTGTTAGGCGAGAGCTTATTCTATTTCGTCCACAACTATTTGAATCTGTACAGGAGGTTTAGATAAAAACACTTGTCTGGAGAGGCCTTCAAACGTTTATGAGCCAGTGAGTTGCTGGATTCGCAGCAACATTTATGCTACCTATTCATACCTTAGTTTGATTTCATTCCAGTTACAGTTTGATTGGAAATGGCTTTTCACAATAAATGACCATCTAATCCATGGTCAGCGCCATTTTGGGTGATATGTATTCTTCTGTACAATGACAACGCCAAAAATTATTTCATTAAATATTTAATAACAAGCCTATTAGTGCTTGTACTGCAGAGATCTGGTAGACCTGTTTTAAATGATTTAACATCCACATTCAAAACGTTTTGACGCTCCAAGGTCAGTTGTCCCGAGGTGTAACCATTGGTGTTCAACCTGTGATACATTATAAATCAGTTTATTGAAACACGACTAAGGCTAATTCTTTTGTTAAGTTCCTATTAAGTGTTTACATTGGGTGAGCAGTAGTCACGTCATCGCGACGCCAACCGCGTACCATATCTTACAACATTCGAAGGAAAAGTAATAACACGCCAAGTTTTATTGTTCGCCTTAGGCTGTCATTTTAAACAATTATTACTATGCGTATTTAAGAAAGATATAGGTTTCAAAGTCGGAGATAGGTAAATATTGTTTAAAAATGATGAATAATGTCGGTTACATAGGGAGTTTATATGTAGATCTAATTGTACTTAAATAAGACTGATCTTATCTATCCTCTTAGTCGTCACCCTAATAATGTTATATAAGTATGGCGGAAAGTTGGGTGTAATAGTGTGGAAAGCGCTTCAGAGTTTTTTCCATCTAGGTATCAGTTTTGCCATGCTCATTACTATCTAGAAAACTATGTATTGGTGGGCTACATCTTGTAAATGGAATGGAACAGGTCAGATCTATGCTGGGATCTGGTACCGTGATGCAGTCTTATTTCGGTAATCAAGAAAGCGGATTGATCTAGAGAATTCATGGAAGTTCTGCTAACCAATGCTTTGTTCTAATCGCCGAAGTTTCTCCAAAGTTTCGTCAAAAAGCCTAACCACTCCGCTCATTTACTTAATGAATAAATCATATGTTAATATGTCATATACTGCATATGATCTGACACAAACGGTGAACCCCAGAATAGTTAAGGCTAAAACTGTGTTACTGATAATAGAAAAGATTTATCGCCAATACAATACGAGAAAATGTTTTTTTTTGAAGATATGATTATAAGAGATCCAGCTTAGGATCTTAGGGAAGGCAAAGAATAGATTGGCCTGCTCCATTGCATACGCTTCTGGGCCAATTCATCACAAGTGTCTAAAAAGGGTTTTTACCTCATAAACCTCAACCAGGTAGTCTACGCCTGTCAACATGCTTCAGTCCAACTTTCAATGACCTCATGGATTTATTTTGTGTTCTGGTTTGGTCGTCCCTAGCCTTCTTTCAACCTACTCATATGCCAATCATCATATCACAGTAGGCTGTTTCACCACTGTAATATAGAATGGAGAAAACACCTGAGTGTATACCTTTCATCTAGTTATTCGATAGATATCTTACCTACACTACAAGTGACGCAAGTTGGTAGAAGCCAACTGAGCTTTCTTGGTTCATGCCGATATTTCACTAGTATTTGGATGTCCCACACTATTTATTCTAGTAATCCTCTAATTGCTGATCCTTACCTGTTCCGGTAGTATGTACGCATTATAGCACACTCATCATAGATGTCAACGATTGTTCATAATTTTTGAGTACTTTTATCTGACACCCAACCGCCGACTGCCTCGGAAAGCGATGATGCCTGGAATAGGGGTAGGGTGAAAAAAACTAGGGGCGGCCAAACCAAAACACAAATCCATGAAGTCACTGAAAAGTGGACTGAGTCATGTTAGTAGATGTAGACTACCTGGTGGGAGCGAGACGATAGTAACCGATGGTGAGATACCTTAAATGACATGGATAAAAATTGTTTGTGATGGCGCAGGTGCATCCACTCTTTGTGTTCTCTGAAATCCTAATCTTCTGAATTCTTCATGACCTCTATCTTTCTCTTTCTAAACTTATCTCACTGAATTATACTTCTTAAATCATACCTTCGAACCCTGATCTTTTTTATTACCGCTAATACTTCTACTATTGCTACAACTATGGTTTTTAAGATGTGTATCATTCGGGCAAGTGCAGTTGTTTATTGTCACTGAAATTACAGATTGCTACAGAGCTTTTAAATGCGCGGTCCTAAAAAGCTAATTGTTACTTAGTGGAAGTGTTAATTGTTGAGTCTAAGTAGGCTATGTTATTAATGAATGTCAGTACTGTTTTTTTTTGTTGAAGATAAAAACTGAGTTTGTATTTACATGATGTTTCGTTCTACAGTTTCTTTTGTCAGTTGGACAAAGAATGTTCAACGGTTATTAATAACATATTCTTTACTCTTACAAACTTTAAATGGTTCGTCTTCTTAATTGTTTTGCATGGACACAAATTTAATTGAGACGTCTGTCAGTCTACTTTCTTGATTCCATCAATAGCTGAGCATCTATAATAGTTCTGTTTTTTGAAGTTGTTTTCTATTTTCTCTTCAAACTCACTATTAAATTCAGTCTATTTTTTTTTAGATGGGAGATTCAGTGTATGTTAAAAAACTCCCAGCTCCACGTGAAGTTTCACCACTTATACGAACAGCACGTTGGGGATTGTTAGCGATTGGAGTTGTTTATGGAGCATTACGTCTAAAATATCTTACAAAAAGAGAGAAGAAGATTTTCGAACATGACCGTGCAATCATAGAAAAAAGAATTAAAGACTACAATGAACGGTTTGCCTTAGAGTCACAAAGATCTTTGAAAGAGTTATCTGAAGCAACTGGTGTAAAGTTGGACTAATAGACAACATAATAAACTTTAGAAGTTATTGTAATGCGAATCGCTTTCAGTTTTTAGATATATGATTGATATATATTCATCTCTTTTTACTTGTTTACAATTTCATACCAACAAAAATAGCACTATGTGAGTGATAAGTAATAAAAACTTAACTGTCACATATTTCAAACCTTTATCAGGCAAAGTTTAGGCAGCTATGCATTGCTAGACATAACACAAATGTGACTCAAAAGCTAGTGCAAAACCTGTATAAAATCTTTAAGTTTATTGGTTATCTTATGAAGTTCTTCTACGAGTACAATAGACCTGTTTTTACTGCTAACCGTTTCCCAACTTTACCAAAATTTGTTATGTACGTCATAGTTAAAGTTGTTAATTCGACTGCTATGACACATTCGATTATTTCGAGATACTAGAAAAGATGGGAGATTTTAGTTTATGTGAGGGATGTTATAATCTTTTGCTTTCTACCTAAAACTCCCATAAATGCTTGAATGTGGCTCATAGTATATTCAGTGTTATGTCGAGTAGCAGTGTATGGAATAAGCTGTGTAAATTATTAAGCAAGTATGTCATTTACATTGAACACTAATTACTATGAAGCATCGATTTCTAATCATTGTGAAATGTTATGACATTAGTTCAGTTAGATAGAATCGTGGTGACCGAGCAGTTAAGGCTCATAACTACCAACCGGTCAGTTGTGATCAACATAGATCATGGCACAAATGTGCGTTATCACAAGGTGTCATATCACATCAGCGCAAGGGAATAAAACTAACAAGACGAATAACAAAAGAGTTGAAGCATTTGTATTAGCATTGATAACACGAAAGAATCCAACTGGGTTATCTAGACTTACCAACAGTACTTAGAGTAGTAGTCAGTGGATTCATGAATTGATGCCGTGTTCTGAGTTAGCTTTCTTCCAAACTACTCCAATAGTATTTGTAAAAGGAGGTCACGATCGTACATATGTAACCCGTGTTTCAAGAACCACTTAATTACTAGTCTGAACCATGGTTCACTCTGGAGAGTCAAGTAGTTCTTAAAAAATATTATTCGAACCAGTGTGGAAACTTGCACATGACTAAGTCTCACTAAATAAAATAAGAAGCAGTTAAACCAGAATAATAGATAGTCATAATTAATATAATATTTGGGATATATGCGTCTTAAGCCGAATTCTCATACCAAACCAGTACAACGCGATACAACTAACAAAATAAGTGGCAAATTAGTCAAAACAATAGTTTTAGTAATAATAATAACAGGCAGCAATTATTTAAAGTATAGTTCAAAAAGGAAGTGCAAAGGTATTTATGAATGAATATCGAATTTCAAGATCTAGAAGACAGAAACTGAACGCATTTACAACAATGAGTCCCTTACCGCTTATTTTAGTCGGTTAGCAACATCGTAGAACTTCGTACCTACGTACGTACGTCAGTTCTCGTCACCATACTACAATACCACTGAGATGATATCGTCAATTCAAATCCCATAGACGTAGCGATAGTTGAAGTATTAGCGGTAATAAAAAAGATCAGGGTTCGAAGATATGGTTCAAGAAATATAATTCAGTGAGAAAAGTTTAGAAAGAGAAAGATAGAGGTCATGAAGAATTCAGAAGATTAGGATTTCAGAGAACACAAAGAGTGGATGTACCTGTGCTATTGTAAACAATTTTGATCCATGTCATTTAAGGTATCTCACCATCGGTTACTATCGTCTCGCTCCCACCAGGTAGTCTACATCTACTAACATGACTCAGTCCACTTTTCAGTGACTTCATGGATTTGTGTTGTGTTTTGGTTTGGCCACCCCTAGTTTTTTCACCCTACCCCTATTCCAGGCATCATCGCTTTCCGAGGCAGTCAGTGGTTTGGGATTCGTAATACATGTCCCAACCACCTCAGCTGATCAAGTTTCAATACTACATCTATTAATCTGCCATCCTTACTTAGTACCCTCTTCCAAACACCAGCACGTGTGACTCCATATTGTAGCAATGCTTCGAAGATACCGATGATCGAATACTAGTAGCCTACGAACATCTACTTTTGTTGGCCATGTTTCACACCCATATAGTAGGACGGAGAAAACTCCTGCGCAGTAGACTCATCCTTTGGTTAACAGATGAATATCTCCTACACCATATGTGACTCATGTTGGCGAAAGCCAGTCGTTCCTTTTGTGTCCGTGCTGAGGTTTCGTCACACGCCAGCACTTATGAGACTCCCAAGATAAGTGGAGTGGTCAGTGCTCTCAACTACTCTACTCCCTATAACTAGTTCAGGTGCCGACGCAAGCCAACCGTGCAGTGACATTTTGATTTTTAAGGTGCATGGTCGTATCCCGAACATGCTTGCATTGTTGCTTAGGGTGGTTAGAAGACTGCATTTTGTCTGCGTCTTGATCAAACAGAACTATATCACTGGCATATTCTAAGTCGAATCTCCTGGTAAAAGTTCACCTCAAAAGTCAGATGATGAAATTGTATTCTCTAAAAGCATGTCCATAACAAAGTTGAAGATCCCAACCATATAATATAAATTTGTCAACATGACTTATTCACCTATGGATTGATACAGTCCTGGTTTGATCACCCCTAACTTTGTGCCAACCTACTCCTACACCAAAAAGTATTGGCTGTCCAGATAAGCGGTGGACAACCTTGATTCCAAACCAACGCTGCACATGAGCTCCAGTATCCAGACAGAAATAATGGAGTAACTACCTATTGTTGGTCACTGAATAATAAACGACCGCAACCCCGCTGCCTTGCGGACCAGACCTCTTGGTTGAAGGATCGGGGAGTGTGTCTCCTGAAGAAAGCCACCTGCTTCGGTTTGAGTGTCCTGGTAGTATCTTATGAATACTTAGGTGCCTCTTTGTATCAGTGTTTATATATTTAAAATAAATAAAATGCTTATATACACGCCTTTTTTATTTGTGCCATAAATGTTTACTTTTCAGTATTCATAAAGTAGACAGGAACAACTGTCCATAATTTATCAAGTTTTCTTCCGACATATTATCTCGATAAATTGTGAACATTCATATTTCAAATATTGTTCCAGCTTTCGATCCCACTGTAAACTAAGTATTACCTTTAATAGTTATCTGTATCTCGTTACTAAAAAAATACATCAATACAAGATGAGTTTATCATAAAATCCATTTGAAAATACATTACATTTTGTAGATTCAATATGTTCATGTATGAGTAAAAGACATTTTATGCTAAGAAAACAAAACCTGAATATCTATCAATTTATTTCACACTTACTTAAATATTGAGAGTATGGATTATAAGTCAATTACTTGATAGTGATGTATTATACAGTTTAACCGTTATTGTTTTCATCAGACATAACCAAAATAAGAGTATGCTAGATCAGATCATGTGTACAGAGATGTAGATATCCTTATTGGTTGCTCGAGATGATCATGATTTATGATCATTTATATATATATATATATATATTCCAGTGAATCCGACATATCACAATCCGTTTACTTTGGTTTCGACAAATAGATAGTAGGATTAGTAGTAATTATAATACAGACAGCCTTGAAGCTGAGAATATACATGTGTACTGATAAATTTCACTCCGTTCAAACATGATTCGTTTTCTAATATACATAATGGTAATATTTTATTTGTACCCTAAGGAAGTCAACTTCCGTATCAATAACATTGACAACCGCTGTTATGGACATTTTCTTTCATCACATTATTATTTTCTAAACATCTGTAGAAAAAAAAAATTCTGATGAACTAGAGAAGAGCATGAGACTTGTCCAATTTTTTGTCGTTACATATAGATCAACTGTTATGCATAATTAATGTACTGAATCTAACTTTTTTACGCAATAATAAAATGTTTGTATTTTTGAAAAATACTACTTATCAGCAGTTGAAATGAAAAAAACTTATTGTTAATTTTAAGATATATATATATATATATATATATATGATGGATAAGAGTTCAACTTGACCGAGTTAATAGCTTGCGAAAGTGATATCCTCTCCACTCACTTACCTCATCTAATCATACTGATTTTCCCAATAATACTTTGTAGTCGAAGCAAGCCATTTTCTTAGATAGGTAGATTCGCTTCTCGTTCCCTAGTAGTCTTGTCTGTGTCATTTGTTCATTTGAGATGACTTACACTAATAATAATTCGTTCTCGTGAATAAATTATCATTCAGTCATATTGTACTTTTCTATACTTCTATTTATTGAAATTTGTGAAAGCTGAAGTATTATACACTACCGAACAACTATGAGGTCTTAACCAATCAAGAGACAGCAGAGATAAATGAATGATTTCCTATGTTAGAACTTATTATATCCAATTAATGACTAATGTAGCCCTCACTTGGAACCCTCAAAGTTCAAGGAAAAGAAAAAGGCCAAGAAACACATTAAACCGAGAAATAGAGAAAGACATGGGAAGAATGAACAGCAATTGGAGAGAACTGGAAAGGGAACCCTAGGACACAGTTAGTTGGAGAATACTGGTCGGCAGCCTATGCTCCATTGGGAGTAACAGGCGTAAGTAAGTAGGTCAGTAAGTAATGACTAGTGTCAATCCATAATAAAAATCCTGTTCGATAAATAGTGCATAATGTAGGGCTGTTTTATGTGATCACTTTTAACTTTATCCAACATTATGTTGATCGTGTTCAAGAGTTTTGAAACTTTAAATTATCCATCAAATCATATTACTCATAAAGTCATCATAAATAAGATCGAAAGTAAGCAAATAACTTTATGATACCATTCAGTCAGTCAGTTGCAACGTAGAACTTCGTACGTATGTACATAAGTTCAGGTTGCCATACCACATTAACACAGAGATGCAGTTGTCAAATCAAATCCCATAGTGATAAAGATAGTAGAGGTATTAATGGTTATGAGGAAGACTAGGGTTCGAAGATATTATTCAAGAAGTATAATTCAGTGAGATAAGGTTAGAAAGACAAAGGTAGATGTGCTGACGAATCCAGAAGATTAGGATTTGAGAGAGCTCAACGAATAGATGCACTTGCGCCATTGCAAACGATTTTGAGCCATGTCGTTCAAAGTCTCTAACTATTGATGACTTTCGTCTCGCGGACCCCAACCAGGTAGTCTACATCTACCAACATCACTCAGTTCATATGTCAGTGACTTCATGGATTTCTGCCATGTTTTGGTCTGGCCAACCTACTCCACAAAACATTGCTCGTCGAGGCAGTCGGTGGTTAGGCATTCGTAACACATGTGCCAACCACCTCAACTGATGAAGTTTCACTACTTCATCTATTGATTTGTCATCCTTACCTAGAACCCGTTTCCTAACGACAGCATTGCTTACTCAGTTGTCCCACGATATACGAGCAATGCTTCTAAGACATCTATGATCGAATACTAGTAACCTACGAACATATTCTACTCTTAACGACCATGTTTCGCATCCATATAGGAGAACGGAGTGAACTGCTACAGAGTACATCCGTCCTTTGGTTAGCGAACGGATATCTCGCCTACGCCTACGCCATAAGCGGCGTAAATTAGCAAAAGCCAATCGAGCTTTCTGTATCTGCGTTGAGATTTCATCAGTCTCAACCATTAGATAATGATAATGACAATTGATTTCGTATAGGATAGAAAATAAACCATTCATCATAAGAATTGTATATTTATATTTGTTCAGAATAACAAGAAATATATATATATATATATAAGTTAAACAAAATAAACTGAAATAATAATAAAATGAGAATTCGGTTCATTTTATAGTGATTTTTCTCGCGCTAAAAAAACATCATAAAATTAACAAATGCATTCGTTGTTGTTGAGTTTTGTCTTTTTATTTTCTTCAAATTTTCAAACATCAATCTATATTTAGGCCAGGTAAATAAGTTTTCAAATAACATGAAATCAACAATGTACAATGATGGATTGTTTGTGTTACAACCTAAAGATATAATGATTGTATCAATACTACTACTTTCTATTTAATGTATGGAATGTATGTTATACATATCTCTCATTGATGATATGTAAATGTTGTTGTATTTTAGAATAGTTGGCGATGTATTTTTTATAAATTTCAAATGAAATATAAATGCTGCTAATGAAATGATTATATGTGTATGCTTCATGCCATCGTTGTTAAACTTGTAGAAACATTTTACAACAGTCTAATTGTTACTCACTGATGATGATGCTGATGAGGATGATGATGATGATAAAGAAGCCGACGACATTGATGACGATGGGAAAGAGGAGGTGGAGAAAGAAGGTGATGTTGTAAAATTTACTTGTTGATTTGTTGAATTATCCTCTTTGGGATGTTTTATATTCGACAATAAATTAAACCATGAATTTAACATTGTCACAGGTACCGGCATCCATACACATTTATTCTCTGACATTGATAAGGTCGGTAAAGATGATATATTCACATGATCCGATTGATTACTGTTGTAAGTAGTGTTCATTATGGAAGAATTTAAATCCAGCGGTATTTTTTGTGAATCATATAACATTGAATTTTTGGTCAATGGTATCTTATACTCACTATCAGAATAATAATCATCCTTACTATTACTATTATTGTTATTGTTATTATTAAGATTACTACTATCTTTATTATAATTAGTAGTATGTTCATCTTTCATAAGATTTGATTTTTTCAAATTATTATCATTATTATTTATTAAAGAATATTTATTTGTAAACATGAAATGATGATTTGAATAATTCCCGATTGAATTTAAACGATTTAAACGTGTCAACTGTTCACCTAAACGTTTCATATTAATAGAATGACGTTCATTATGTAATTTAGTTGGTAATTCATCAAAATTTCCATTGATTATATGTTTATTTGAGCAATCTTTTAACTTTTCCGTGATATGATTATGATTAGTATTATCTTTCAAATAAGATGAATTAATTTGATGTTGTATATTTTGCATGAGAGGATAATTCATTTGTTCTTCTAATGTTGTAGCTTGACTATGACAACTACATTGACAACATGGTGATCGAGGTCTGTCAATAATTTGATTAACATATTGTGTTAATAAAAAATTTTCAGATTCTTTTAAATTTGTCATAGTAAAATTCATTGGTGGATTATTATCTTTTTCACACGGTGTTGTAATGAAATCATCAATTTTGCTTAATTCTGAATTATAATGATTCAGTAAATTTGAATAATAATTGGCGCGTAAATTCATTGAACAATGATCAATATTGTGACTAGTCATAAATGGATTATTATTGTCTGTGCCATTTTCAATAATTTTCTCTTTATTTACCAATGAATCATTTTGTCCTATTCTTCTATAACATGAATCTATTGAATATGTTTGTTTTTCTTGATCAACATTAAATTGTTCATCAATATATTGATGATTGAATAATAGATTCGATAAACCGAATTGTTTAAAAAATTCCATTAATCGAAAATTATTCAAATAATTACTTTGTTGTGTTATAAGCGAAGTCCAAGAAGAAAGAATATCACTAAAATCATTCATTTCATTATGTGTAGTCTTAATTTGATGTTGATCAGACAAAGTTGATATTGTTGATTCACCAGTAGAATGATTTGGAAGAGTATTATTACTTTGACTGTTATTATGATTATCATTATTATTATTTGTCACAGTATTATCAGTTAGAAAGTTTTTCTTATTTAAATATGAATTGATAAATGTTGAAATTGTTGTTATATCCAAATTACTCGGAGAATATATTGATTTATTATTAGGTAAACAGTTTAAATTTGAAGAGTTTTCAGAATGTGTTGATGTCAAAGTACAGTTATTTGCATTAGTAATGATATTTGAAATAGTGTTAGTAATATTACTAGTAGTAGTAGGAGGATATTTACAATCTTGTTGAGTTTCATAAAATTTAGTAGTAGTATTATGAGGTGTATGAAACCAATCTTGGCGTTGTTGTTGATGATGATGATTGTATAGTTCATTTAATTTACTAGCATGATATAATGAAGATGTTACTGGTAAGTTAGTATCGTCCATTTTTGAATGTACCGGCAAAGTGTTCAATGGTGTCAATGTCTGTTGTAATTTATTTGTAGATAATGTTGAAGTGACTATTGTCGGTGTTATTATCGATGATGATGATGATGATGATGTCACTGATGTTGTCATTGGTGTAGAATTTAATGATGTACAACAAAATTTAATTAAATGTTTTAATCCTATAAATTGATATACAAATTTCCTCCCGTGAACTTTACGTATAATATTTTTTTGATAATAATAACGTAATGCACGACTTAATTTATCATAATTCATACGATGATTTTTATCTTTACGCATACCCCATAGTTTTGCAACAATTTCAGCTTGTACCAGAATAAATTCACCACGTTTATTTGTCCATCTTATAATATGTTCATATTTATTTGATAATAATAATTCTAATAAAAATTGCCATAATGTTAATTTACCATTACTACCATCGATTTCAGTAGTGACCTATTAAAATTTCGATAGTTGTTTTTTTTTCGAAAAGAAAAATAAAACAAGAAAATTTAAATGTAACATTTACAAAATGATTAAAAAATTAAGCTATTTAAAGACTAAAATGATACTGATTCATCAATTATAGCGGATTATTGAAGCTGTTCAATAGTGTTGCATATTCGAATATTGAACATGAAAACAACTTG